TGAGTATTTGCATTGTGTATAAAGTCCCTTGAAGCAATTTAGTTGTATCTGATTAATTTACTTGAAATATAATATTCTTTGCTCAAATTATTGCCTTTTTATTGTATTATTTTATTGCAATTAAAGTTGAGATTTTTTAGTTAATTGAGTTTAACCAAAATAAAAAACAAAAATCAAAATTGAATTTACGTTGTTTCAACGTTGTTCTTACGTCTTATTGACTACGTATCAACCGAATATATAACCTATTCAAAGTTGAAATATGGTTGATATGTAGTCGATAAGACGTTAGAAAAACGTCGAAACAACGTAATCATCGACGTTATTTCAACGTCGTAGTTTTCAACGTCGGATTTAATTTCCAATTCCACCAAATTTCAACGTTGTTTCAACGTGGCAAACGGTCGGTTTGCGACGTTTTTTCAACGTTATTTAAACGTCATTGTGCCTGCTGGGTATTGACTCTTTTTAGGACAAAAAAAGTTCTTTCTACGTTACAGCTTGTAATCATAAGAGACAAATAAATTCTCAACACAGTGTAGACATTCGCAAAAGTATGTCAAATTATTCTTAACTAGCAAGGTGTACATTTGCAGTTTAATACAATCAGTTTAAATGAGCATTAACAATTTGAAAAACAAAGAAATAAAAAAATTCACCATGACAGTTAGCTTCAACATCTTTAAAATATGTTTCATATGCAAATTAAAAATGATCTCTTATACCATTATTGGATAAAGATTGCAGATTTTTAAGAAAACCAAACCTTTTGCTGATTGTGTCAAATGCATTAGCCCTTTGTTTAAGAGCAACTATCAATTAATCAACGTTAGGTAAAAAAAATTTAACTTTAAACTTATCATTTTGCGATAACTCTAGATCTTTTAACTCATCCCCAGTGGGCCACACGACGTTATTTCAACGTTGATTTACGGTTGATTTTAAGTCGCGACGTCGTATAACCAAAAATCAACATTGTATCAAGGTTGAAAATTTGTTTAAAACTATCAAAATAAAATCGACGTTGATTCAACGTCTATATTACGAGTTCGACCGTTCGTATTGCATTTTGAGAACTCAAATACGCATGCGTGACTTTACTAGATATTTATAAGGCCTTTGTTGCCTTTTTATAAGGTTTTAACAATATCATATGGCTTATATTAACAATATCATATGGCTTGACTTGTGATGCAGTTAGTTAGATAAATATTAAAGAGATATTTTTTTATGACGGTAATATTTTATGGGTGTGGATTACAAGTAGATTTTGCTTGAATTTTTTTACAGTTTTTAAGTAAGTTTTTTTTTAGAGTTCGATTAATTGGTTTTACTATGTATGTTGGTATATTTAACTATACTAATTTTATATCATATAAATATAAAATATATATTTTCACTCTCTCTCTCTCCCTCTCCCTCTCTCTCTCTCTCTCTCTCTCTCTCTCTCTCTCTCTCTCTCTCTCTCTCTCTCTCTCTATATATATATATATATATATATATATATATATATATATATATATATATATATATATATATATATATATATATATATATATATACACATACTTACTAAAGCGTGTTTTGATAAGCATTTGCTCACTTTTTCTGCTTACCTTAAGCTATACCGTTTTTTTAGAAAAAGAAAAAACGAAGAATGATGAATAAAATGATTGCTTCCCCATCCCAAACCCTCAGTTGATGTAGCAGCACTTCCTTTTAGCAGCAGGCTATGTGATAGTCGATGTAGCAGCACTCCCTTGTAGCAGCAGGCTATAAGATAGTTAAAGAATGTAGTGAAGCCAAAAATATTCTCTTTTTATATTAAAAAGTCACCACTTTAAGCATGTCTCTATGCGAGATCACAACAAGCGAAAAAATAAAACTATTTTAGGCTGCTTAACTGCAGATTTACCGCTTTTTAACAATCCATGTGATTCAAAGGGTTTGACACTTGAATTTCAATATAACTTTCACTAGGCAGTTATATAATGTATAAGTTAAAGTTGTATTTTTCTGTAAGTTATTTCACACTAACAAATATTTTGCGTATGAGTATAAAAAGTGTTGTTTTAAAAAATAAATTTTTCCAGTTTAAAAAGTATAGTTGAGAAAGCAAAATGTACATCCGAGCTGTTTGGATAGAAAATAAAGAGAAATAGAGAGAAAATACGATTGATAGTTTTTTTGTTGGCCATCATCATTTAGTGTAATAAATTATTTCAATGAAATGCATGAACCGCAGTCTAACTAATACATATTTAAGCTGCTCAATATTAAATGTTGTGGAGATAATGTAATTATTTTTTTATAAATATTAAGTCATTACTTTTTTTCCTTGTTTCTTAAAAATGCTCTATTATTGTATATGTTGTTGTTAGTGTTTAAGATATATTCTTTATTATATAATATATTTAAAACAGTTTTAAACTGAATGATTATTCTTATCATGAGTTATGTGATAATTTTGAATTTGCCTCTACTAGTGATACTCAGATAGAATCAGAATCAGAAAGTGTTAACTATTTTAAAAGATTTAAACTTAAGTTAAAAATTTAATTCAAGTTTTATTAGTTTTATTTTGATATTATTTATTATAGGAACCACTACTGTTCTTATGCAAGAGAAAATATAATCTAACCAAAAATAACCAAGTACCTACTCCTATAACGCAAAAAAAGAAATGCAAAACAACTTTTATGCATACTCCGCATGCTATAGTTCAAGGTATTGATTGTCTGTCTGCAAGTTGTTTTAGAAAGAAAAGATTGTGAATGTTTTTTTTCTATGCTTTTACACATTTTATTGGTTGTTAAATAATATATTTTATTTATTCTATTAATGTTTTAAAGTTATTTTTTTATTGTTGTATTTTTTTTCTTTGTTATGACATTTTATTTCATTGGTATGACATTTATTTTATTATAGCATTTAGCAAAAGCTATTTTATTTCTAGCATTCTAGTATTGATTATTTTTTTACATGGTTGATTTTTTGATCTTAAAAATATTAGGATCAGCAATGGCAAAATTTTCCTGAGGAAAGAGAGTATTTTAATATAGTGCAAAGCTATGTGTTTTTCCACAGAAAAAAAAAAAAGATTGTTTTACCAGAGACACCTCCATTTGTTTCCCTTATAAGAAAAGCTACTAAAAAAGATTCCTTATCGAATGGCAAGTCTCCCATTACTGAGGTATGTGAAGTATTTGATATTTATTTTGGTGTGCATTCATTTTATTAATTAGTAAAAAAAGCAAGTAATTATCTTTAAGCCATTAGAAGAAATATATTTTTTCAAAATCCAATAATTTTGTTTATTTAATAAATAGATATTTTGAAATAGTGTATTTGGTTCTTGTGTTTCAATGCTTTTAAAAATTAACTAATGTTTGGTTCTTTTGTCTTACTGTTATATCTTTATTATTAGAATTTCAGAAGAAAGTTTTAAATGCACTGGTAGAAAAGAAAGAAATGTTAGTAAAGCTCTTTCCAGTAATTAAAATAATATCACGACTAATAGTCCTGATATTTTATGGATGAATTGGCAGCAGTCATTTAGTGATTATGATGACAGTTTTAATAATTTTTGGATGAGGTCTAAAGTTAGGTTATTTCAAATCATGACTTTTTGCAATTTTTTTATTGCTTTTTTGGGATTATGTATTTGCTTAAGTTAATCTACTTGTAACTTTTTATAAATGTACTATAAAAATAATGTAATGTAATTATTTTCTTAAATCTTTAGGAATTATGATAACAGTTTAAACAAGTGATTTCTAAAGTGGTAATTTTTATTAAACCATTACTTTTTGTATTTTTAAACTATTATTTTGCACTTTTTTATATATTTTTTTTCGGTTATGTATTTTTTTAAGTTAATCTACTTGTAACTTTTTATATATGTATTATAAAAAGAATGTGGTATAATTATTTTCTTAACCCTTTAGGTTAACAAACTTTCTAAAATCAGAGGTAAGACAAATACAAAAAATGTGAATCAAAGGTTAGTTAAAAGTAGTTTTAAATAAAAAACCTCTTGAATCTTGTTATTATAGTTTGTTTTAAAAATATGTTTAGCTTATATCTCTAAAAGTTTGACGAATTCTAATCAGACATAAAATAAATCTTTTTTTTTTCATGTCAGATAAGAATATTTTTTTTTTGAAATGTTTTTTTTTTGTTTTTTTTTTTTTGCATCAAGCTAAAAAACAACTTAATGCACAAAGGTTGTTTTGTAACGCATACTAAACCTTTTTTTTGCTCTATATATACATATATATATGTACATAAATAAACATACATATATATGTATATATACAATATATATATATATATATATATATATATATATATATATATATATATATATATATATATATATATATATATATATATATATATATATATATATATATATATATATATATATATATATATATATATATATATATATATATATATATATATATATATATATATGTATATATAATGTATCAATTTTTAATATAACTATAATGATAATAAAAATGTATAATGCAGGTTAACTAAGGCAATACCTTTTTTTATAGAGAGCATCATGTCAATTAAAGCGACTGCTACAGTTACCGAAATAGGAAAAGGAATAATGACTTTATTCAAATATGCACTCGACAGATCGAATGGTGGTGGTCGGTACAAAACAACATTCATACTTTTTCCTTATTGTTCTGAAACTATTGATAAATAAAACTTTTTTTTTCAAACAATTTATTTTATTTGCATTTTATATAAAGTCCCTTGAAGCAATTTAGTTGTATCTGATTAATTTACGTGAAATATAATATCCTCTGCGCAAATTATTGCTTTTTTATTGTGTTATTTTATTGCAATTAAAGTTGAGATTTTTCAGTTAATTGGATTTTAACCAAAATGAAAAACAAAAATCAACGTTGACTTTACGTTGTTTCGACGTTGTTCTGACGTCGTATCAACCGAATATCACCTATTTAAAGTTGAAATATGGTTGATATGTAGTCGATATGATGTTAGAACGACATTGAAAAAACGTAATCATCGACGTTGTTTCAACGTCGTAGTTTTCAACGTCGGATTTTATTTCCAATTCAACCAAATTGGAAACGTGGCATATGGTCGGTTTATGACGTTGTTTCAACGTCACTGTGCCTGCTGGGATCATAGTCCCATTAATGATTCCTCTTGCAATTTCTCCTGGCTTAACCTTTGCATAAATCGGTGCACAAGTCCTTTCTTTTTGTTTCAACTGCTGTAATTTGGCTCCAAAGAGAGTGAGCAAAATTTCCCAAACAACTGAAAACTGAGAAACGTACGAAAAGAAAAGTAATCTATTTCTCTATAAAAAAATAAGGTCACAGGGCTGAGAACCTATTTTTTCGAAAGGACTAGCGCTGAAGCCCTATCAGCCTCCGACTTAATACAGTACTGTTCTAACCACTACATCATGCATATACAATTCTCGGCCATGGATCTCTCTTCGTCACACGCAAAAACTTATTCAATAAAATTCAGTAAGTTGACAACTATATTATAGCAACTGAAGTCTATGAGCTTGCCAGTGACCACGAAGAAGCTGATACAAGGTTGATATTACATATGCATCGCTGCACTATCAAAATATTGTAGTTAGAAATACTAATGCATTTGTGTTTGCTTAACTTGCAAAAATAAAAAAGTCTAGAACGTATGCAACCATATCATAAAGCGTGGAAATTTGAATTATCAAGAAGATACTTTGGCAAATATACTGAAAAATACATAAACTAAATTTAAAATCAAAAATGATTATTATTTGGGCGTTGCTAAGAGAAAGAAGGAAATAATTTTAGATTTGTTATTAGAAATCCTCCTGGTTAAAAATAAAAGGTGGTTTCAATATAAAATAAAACTTTGACCTCGTTTATCCAGTTATTAGGACAGTAAAATTCTGGAATTTTTTGGTATTAAATCAGTTTGTTTAGCTCATCAAAATATTTTTTTCGAAATTTTGCTGCTAAAGATGTCTTTTTTTTTGAAACCGTTTGCTGCAACACACGTCGGTCTATCAGTCATTACACAAATTCTACCAAAAAAGATTTTTTTTTTTTTAGTTTCGTCGTGTATTATTCATGCGTCAGACAATTATCGTGTATCAGACAATTATCTCCCACTAAAGTATCGAAGTGATTTTAGAAGTTTAGATATTAGTGCTAGAAATTCACGCGAACTAAACGACCGCAAACTAATATTTAGAGATTATCGTCTTAATAATTCAAGTTAAAAGTGACGACAACATTCTTTGTTTTATTTCTTATTTTGTAGCGTAATTAATCTATCTTCAAATCAGGAGTTTATTTATTTATCGATTTAGAAATCAAATAACTTATTGTTCACTGTTCACTGTTCATTTTTTGTTTAGTGTTTATATATCGAATGTTTCATCAGTGGTATTTTTTACTTTACTGAATTGACAATACTATTTGTCACAACAATTAGTCATTATTAATCCTTTAGCTCTTCTTCTATCGTTAATGCAATTTTAATTGTTAATAATTAATTTTTCATAAAATATTAATTATAGAAGCTAGTATGATGGTAAATAATATTTCTTCTAATTAAACATAATTAAGTTATGTGCATAATTTATTGTGTTGACTTTCATATTTATTAGTTATAACTTTAACTAAATGAATATTAAATAATATACGAATAATCATTATTTTGTCATATAACAATATATCAATATTTAAAATGCCATTATAATAATGGCAATTTAAATATTGATATATTGTTATTGACATTTTGTCAATTATGAAACCCTTGTGAATATTTGGCATGCTATTTTTTAATTCTCATCTGTGCTATGATTGTCAGATAAGGGGACAAAGTTTGTCATTCATTAAAAAAATTTTATAAGTTTTCAAAATAAATCTTTAAGAATTCATTTTCAACGTAACAGTTTTAGTTTTGACATACTTCACTATATAGACATACCCATATAGTAAGTTGACTGATGTCTTCCTTTTTACATAGGAGAGCACAGTGTAAAACCTAATAAAAATTTAGATTTTCAGGTCATTCTCCTACAAAAATAAGAGGATAAGGTCACCTTATATATAGTCTTTCTAAAAATTTAAAGTTTGATAAACTCATCAACTTGTCAAATACTATTAAATACTACTTGTCAAATAATATCAAATACAAGTACACTATTTTAAAATAGTGCACTTGTATTTGATATTATCCGTAATTATGGATTTAAGTACTTATGTGTTAGTTTTAAAAGCAAAGAGAGACTAAGAAAAGATATAGATCTTAGATCTAAGATCTGTATCTTTTCTCATAATCTATTGAATTTGGCTATGAATAATATTTGCGAATTTAAAATAGCTATACTCAGTATAAATAACATCATACTCAGCTGCATAGTTTTTTTCAATTAACAAGTGATATTTATACCCATAATCTAAGATCTGTATCTTGTTATAGTCTCTCTTTAATTTTAAAACAAACACAGTAGTACACTATTAAGTCAATCAAGTATCAATCAATTCACTCTGGGAACGCACTTCCTGTTGAAACAAAAAAAAAAAATACTTCACAAAATGACAAATAAAAATGGAAAATAATCAATGAACTATTTATAATGCAGTTTTTTTTTTAGTTATTCTCTTTAATGGAGTTTTTTATTCATACATTTATTTCTCTATTTCTTCTTAAATAGTTATGATGAATAAAAGAAAGACTTACCTCTTCCTCATTTTTAATACTGCTATTGTACTGAACTCTTCTTTTTTAAGTTCTTTTTCTCTTTTTTCTCTTGTTATTTTATTATTGTCAACTGTTGTTATTATTACTATTGCCATTATCACAATTTTTATATATCATGGGTAAATGTTGTTATCATAAATTTTATATATCAGTAAAGTAAAAAAAAAATTTAAATTGTGTTTATAAATGCAAAAAAAAATTTAAAATATTTGCATTATTTTAAAAGTTATTAAATTGATTATTATTATTATTATTTTTTTTTTTGCAGATAATTTTCTGAAAGCATTTTTAAAAATTAAATAATTATTAAAATGAAATTAGTGCTGCATCTTTTTTTTCTTATCATTTAAACTCTTAATGGTCTTTTTTAATTAATTAGTATTGGTATATTGTTGGTATTAATAATATTAAGTAATGTAAATAATTATTCAATAAGGTCTTTTTATTTTACATTTTGATTCAATATCGTCTTTTTATTTTACACCTTAGATCAATAATAAAATGTCCGTTAAACAGATTCCTTTGACTTGTCCTGGTCACACAAGACCTGTTGTAGACTTGGCTTTTTCTGATGTCACAGATTATGGTTATTTTTTAATAAGTGCTTGTAAAGGTTAGCTTTTTTTTTATTCTTTTTGCTACATTTTAAAATCAATTTGTTTTAATTAAATATTTTATACTAATCTTTGTAGTTAATATTATATTGTATTTGTATGTTGCGAGTATTTTTTGTTTTTTCTTAATTAAGTATGATACCTCTTTATAAAGTATTTTTATAAATCTATTTCAATCTTAATAGAAAGTGTGTGACTACGGTAAAAATATAAAATTGTAGTTTTGATGTAACAAATTGCTTTATAATACATTTTATATGATTATTCAAATTTTTTAAATCAAAAATGAACTAAACGAAGGTATCTGTTTATCTTATCCTAGGTACCATACACCACTTTTTTTTTGCGTACTGCATATTGAGTATAATAATCACATCATAATCAATACGCAACTCAACATATGCATGCGTTTTTAAAAAAGTTCTTTTGGTTTTAAGTGTTGAAAATCACATCTTTAAGCTTCTAGGGAGCATTAGCATTGAATAATATTTTTCAAGATGCTAGTAAGTTTCTAGTGTACCGTTTTTGAAATAATGACTTAATGTGCTTAAATATACCTAATTTTTTTTGGAATATATGTTTGTTAATTTTATTTTATTGTTTTTGTATATAAACTAAAGTAATTAGATTAAAAAAAAAATGCTAATAAAAAAATTAAATGTAAATATTTACCTTTCTATTTATTGTAAGCATGGAATATAATTTGGATTTAATTTTGTTTAATTAAAATAAATAATTTGAATCTTAGCTTCAATTTATATAAATAATATAATTTAGTCTAATTTAATTTAATGATACTTTTTACTTGTTTAATATAAAGTTTTATTTTAAATTTTTTGTGTTAATATGCCTGAAAGAAACGCCAAAAGAAAAAGGATAGAATATAAACTATAAACTAGCATGTACATAGTTCTAGATAAAAAAGGTAAAAAATAATGAAGATAAAGAAAAGCTGCCTGTTAATAAACAAACAACCTTTAATAGTAGTTATAGCACTTTAAGTGTTTTGTCAATTTCAAATAATCAAGACCAACTCTTGTGCAGCAAAAACTTAAGCAATGCTACATTTACAAATCCTGACCACCCCTAAAATATTTTGTTTTTACAACTTTTTACCACGCAATTTGTAAGATAAATTGTCTAACAAAAAGAAAATCTTAAAGAAAAAGAAAAAATCTAACCTTAGAATACTAAAATTGAAAATATATTTATATTATGTCTTTTAAAAATTACTATACTATGCGGAATGCTTTGTAAATTATTACCTAAATATATTAAATTTTTTTTTTTTTTTAATTTTAATTCACCTCCTCAAGGCCGAGAAGGCCACTACAGACGAGGAGGCTACTTATTTGTGGTTATAACCCTCTCTCAACTCTATAACTCCGAAACACAAACCTTGACGAGCAAGGCTGCTGCGCGGAGAAACAAGTTGAGCGCGGTACTACCAGGGATGTGGTGGGGATTGAACTCGGAACCACTCGTTTATGAAGCGAGCGCTCTACCACTACATCACTACCGCATAGAATACTTAAATTATATAATTATTAAATACATAATTAAATATATAATAAACTAACTATGTAAATATATTAATTACATAAATTATTATTTTTGCTTATTACTTTTTCCCACCATGTCCCTGGTAGTACCGCGCTCAACTTGTTTCTCCACGCAGCAGCCTTGTTTGTCAAGGTTCGTGTTTAGGAGTTGTAGAGTTGAGAGAGGATTGTTACCACAAATAAGTAGCCTCTTCGTCTGTAGTGGCCTTCTTGGCCTTGAGGAGGTGAATAAAAAAAAAATTAAAAAAAAAAAAAACTTTATCAAATAAAGTAACAAATTAATTATAATGTTTATAATATACCCATTTTATTTAAATTATCAAAGAATATTATACCTAGGTACATTTATATAAGTATATATTTTTTTATAAATCTTTTCAAACTTTTTCTAGGATTAATTTTATTAGCAAAAATACTTTTAATAGCGAATACACTTTTAATAGCAAAATACACTTTTAATGGCAAAAAATTTTAAACAAACATTATATAACAATTCCAATTTAGTAGTGTTATAAAAATACTGGTTTCTTTAAGCATTAAAATAACTATTACATTAAAACTTTTATAAAATAAATTTAAAAGGGGTTTTAAAAGCTAAAATATTTGTTTGAAATTTATAAAAACCATCGTACAAAAAATAAAATAAATACTAGGGGTGTACTGAATTAAAAATTTTGAATTCTGGCCGGTACCGGATTTGCTGGAATTGTTGAAAAAATTCCGGCCGAAATTCTGGCCAGAACGAGTTTTATATTTATGTAATTTTTTACTTTCAAGATTGAAAGTGAAAGCCTGTACCTCAGCATCCTGGTTACATAATATATATATATATATATATATATATATATATATATATATATATATATATATATATATATATATATATATATATATATATATATATATATATATATATATATATATATTTATAACCTGTACATATATATATATATATATATATATATATATATATATATATATATATATATATATATATATATATATATATATATATATATATATATGTACCAGGCCTTGTGATGAATAAAAGCTGCGCGACCCATAAGCACGACGTGATTTTTGACGTCATTAAATTCTTTTTATTTGCTTTTCTTATTTATTGACATTAACTGCACCAATTTACTTAATTACCGCAAAACTAACAAAACTTTAAATCATTAATGTAGAAATGTTATTATTTAAAAATGTTTTGGAATGTTTCGTTTTTTAATATGTAAAAACATTTGTTTATTTTCTCGACGTTTGACACGTTTTGTCTATACTAAACGAATAAAAGACATAACTAAACATTTAAAAAAGATTATAAAATATGCTAATATTTGATTTTTTTTTTTCTCAAATATGTAATTTAACCCTTTCATGCCGGGATTTATTTAGGCGATTTAAAAAGCACAATACTTTGTCACGAAAACACTTAAATACATGGGTTTCCTTACAAAATAAGTTAAACAAAGTATATATCCTTGGAAAGCAGGCAAAATTTAGAATATAAAAATAAAAATAAGAAAGTAAAAAATTTAAATCTATGACGTCTACATTATTTCATATTGATAAAGAAGCTTTGCGAATTTTAAATAGTTGCGAATTAAGCCTTTCAAATAGCTAGCTATATTGTTTAAAAAGTAAATAAAGGCTTGTAAAACGCTGCAAAATTTATTCAGCTTTCATTTTATGGGTCACTTTTCTAATTTAGATAATTAGAAATTAAATAATTAACATTTTTCTTTGGTGACGTCAAATTTTTTTTTTGTTTTTGTCTAATTTTGTTATTCAATAAAAATATTAAAAATACCTATAAAGAAAAGTAACTAATTTGATGGGATACTTTCCTTACTTAGATAAGTAAAAAATAATAAACCCACCCCTTGTGTAAAGCAAATACAAGTTTTCTCAACTATTTTATTTATTATATTTTGTCAACAAAAGTGAATGTATAGATACATAATTTTAAAAATAAAACTATGAATGCCACATATTCCAACAATTAGAGACTGAATCAAGGCATAAAAGGACATTGCAAAATGAACAAAAAACACAGATGGTATCCTTGTTTTAAAACATGTTGGGTTAGTTGACAGACAACAGTTCCTGCAAGATGATGGTGCTTTAGTCCATCAATATCTTTTCCAGTGTAAATCAAGAACTCTGATAAGTACCCGGTAGATGGCTCTGCCATTACCCAAGCTTTTATTCCAAATCTTGTACGTTTGCTTGGAATAAATTGTCGGAAAGAGATTCTTCCTTTAAAAGGTATCATACTCTCATCAATGCAATGTCTCTTTTTGGTTTATAAAGATTTCTTAACTTAAGACAAAGGTCATCTAGCAACATACGTACCTTGAAGAGTTTGTCGTATCCTTCATTACCCCTTGGTATTGCTGCTGTCTCATTGCAAAAATGAAGATAATGGTGAATTTGTCTAAATCGATCACGAAACATTACTTTACTAAAAGATGGAATAGCAAAAAACCAAAGTTTTTGTCTCCAGTAATCATGGGTGCATGAAAGTTTTATTATTCCCATGGCTAAACAAATTGCTATAAATACTTTGATATCATTTTTTTTTTTTTTTTTTTTTTTTTTTTTTAACATCTTCACTTCCAACAAGGCTGCAAGCAACCACTATAAGAGTTGGAAGTTACTGGAAGAGAAAAGACTAAATCTGTAGAGCAAGATAACGATTGACTGATGACTTAAAAGATTGCAAATTATATGAATCGGGAAAGCAAGATGAAGGAAGCGAATTCCAAAGAACTGATGTTCGAGGAAAAAAACTAGAAGAATAAGAGTTTTTGAAGCACTTAGGAACAGTCACAGAAAAAGGATGAGACTTAATTGAATGGCGAATAACACGAGAGTGAATTTTAGTAGATGGCACAAGGGACGCTAGCTCTTTAGAGCAGTGCCCATTATAGTATTTGTAGAAAAGAGAAAGAGAAGCAACATTACGACGATGTGACAAAGGTTGGAGATTGGCTGCAAGAGCAGGTCCAACTATGTTTACAATTCGTTTTTGCACCTTGTCTAAAAGAGAAAGAGCATCATTAGAAGATCCGCCCCAGATGTGGCAACAGTATTCCATACAGGGACGGATTTGAGATTTATAGAGATAGAGAATAGAATCTGGAGTAAGAAAGTGTCGAGCTCGATAAAGAGATGCAACCTTAGCAGATGACACAGACAATTTTGCAATGGATTTGATATACGGTTTAAAAGAAAGATCAGAAGTAAGAGTTAATCCTAGAAGATGAATGGTAGATGACTCATCTAGTACATTACCATTCATAAATATAGGAAGATCTAAATTATTACGATAACGATTGGCCGAATAAAATTGAGTTTTATCTGAATTAAAGTTCACCAGCCACTGTGAGCCCCATGCTGTAGCAGAAGTGAGATCCTTTTCAAGCTCAGAT